GCACAAAGTAAGAGTAAGTGATAGCTATAAAAGCAGAGGGCCTGGCACATGGTAGGCATTCAATAAGTGTTCCTTAAATTATTGCAGCAGGAATCTAAATATAGGCAAATAAAGATGGAGAACTCTCAGACGGAGCTGGGAAGCTCAACGACCTGAGCACCCCCTACCCCACCCAGTATTTCGAGGGTATAGGGGTGGGGACAAGAGCCATGTGCCCCCTGCTGGCTCCTCCAGGGCTACCCTCCGCTGCCCTGGATAGAGATGAACCACAACTCCCAACAGCCCCATTGGCAGCAATCCTCTAACAATGAGTGATCTTATGCTTCAAGGCCTTATGGGAGTTGAAGTCCCCGCCACCCCGCAACTGACAAGTTTTCCGGCCAAGGAATGTGGCAAGCCTTAGTCTCCACGCCTCTGTAAAACCCCAAATGCATGATCCTCTGTGCAAGACTCCTTTCTTCAGGGATGTTCAACCCTGCGCTCCATGGAAGAAGCAGGAGTCTAGAAGGGAGATGGATAAATCACCCCCTCCCAGAATAGCTCCCAGTGCAAGCAAGCCCCTCACCCTCGCTCGCATATGTGCTCGCGTGTTGGAAGCAGAGCCCACACATTCCAAATGGCTTTTTGTGTACACCTGAACACAGGACCACAGCCAGAGAGCCTAAATCTAAGAAGCAGGCTAAGAGCAGGACACAGGAGGAGCTGAAGCCCAGAGGACAGTAAAGGAGAGCAGGCCAGAGAAACTGAAGCCCCCAAAATCTACTGAAACTACGGAGGATTTGGGGGGGACCACTGCCAAGAAGCAGCATGAGAGAAATCTCACAGAAAAAAAGACAAGCAAGTAGCCCTGGAGAGTGGGTGGGGGCTCCAGACCTAAAGGCCCTCAGCCCTCAATCTCTTCTATCCATGCTCATACACCCACGATGCATGTATACACACGTGTGAGTTTATGACAGGGAACATGTGTGTCCTCAGCTCCCTCTCGTGAAAAGCTGCAGTTCCCACTAAATATAACCCCCTCCCCAGCTTGTGACTCACCCGGACCCCGCCTCCCCGGCCCCCACTTCCTGTCCCACCCCCCCCCAACCCCCAGCTGCCTGCCACCAGGCAAGGCCCCTCTCCACACACCAGGCACCCAGCTTCCCAGTCCCAGAGTCTCACAGCCAAGACCTAGGTATTCTGCATCCACCAGGAGCTTACTTGTGCTCCTCATCCTTGATCTCCTGGCCCTTTCCAGCCTTTCCAAACTCCAACCACAGGGACACCCTGGTACAGATCCTCACTGCCTTCCTCCTACTCCTTTTCACCCCAGTCACCTTAAATCCAGGTGTTCTCCTCCACCTTCATCCCAAGTGTCAGGGGTAACAGGAACGTTTCCCTCCATCTACTCTTCTCCCTCTTTCTAAACCAAGGGTAAATACAGTGTGGGAAGAGAAGGGGATATTGGGCACCTGCCTAGACCATCCCCAAATTTTGCACCACCCACCTGGTCCCCTCCTCAAATCCCCTCTTTCCCAAAACCTCTCATCCTCCTCCTCAGGAACTGGCAACCTCAGCTGCTGCATCCTTCTACCTCCCATGGGAGTACCCCGGATCCTAACCTTACCTGGTCCATTCCCTCAGGTAATCCTACAGAAGGCCCCAGCCCTCTGACAACTCCCAACTCTCCCCATCCCATATGATCGAACCCTAAATTAACAGTTCTTGCTAATTGAGCAAGCACCCCCAAATGTATCTACCAGAAGACGCTGGTTCTATAGCCTGAAGGCCCACCCCTTCCCACCGGCTGACACCGCCAGACCTGTCAGGCACTCACAACCAATAACCTTCTACCCCTGTGTGAGAAGCCTCCTTAAATTGGACATGGCACCAGGAGGCCAGCATGCCCCCCAGGAGGAAAGAGAATCCCCCACACATAGTCCACCTTTCAACATACACGAGCAGGACTCCCATGTGAGCCAGGCTTCTCCTTAAATAAGTCTCTCGCAAATATGTTCGGTAAACCCCAAAACCCAGCAGACCCCCAAACCACAGAGTACCCCCAAATTTCCATTTCTCTACAGGTACAAAGGGATGACTCTAGGGGGCACCTGTGGCCAAACCCAGCGTTTTCTCAAATGTGAACCCCCAAACTAAATTAGGACCCCAAATACATCTTCTGATGCTCCCCAGGGCCCCCAGCCCCAGATTAGGTCTGCCTAACCTCTCCCCATAAACTCATACCCTCCCTCCAGTTTAGAGCCCCCAACCATGCTTACCTTGGTTGTCACTATACAGAGACAGTCCATGTTGGGGGGCCTGACCTCGGCGGCGGGTAAGGGGCTCTGACTTCATCGGAGTTTCGTTCCTCCCCTCCGTGGGTTCTCACCCCTCCCCCCTCCGCACCCCACTTTTGCAGGGGTGGCCAGGATGGGGGGAGGGGTGAGAGGGGAAAGAGGGGTTTGGAGAAGGGAACGGTAGGGGAGCGTGGGAGAGAGGGGAAGGGGGCCCTAAAAGGGGGTCCCCAATGGAGGGGGGGCTTGGGGAGCACACCCCGGTGCTCAGGAGGGACGGGGGCACCGGGGGCTAGCAGCCCCGGAGTTCGGGGGCTGGGGCATGAGCTGAGGTGGGGGAAGGGAACTGGATTTCGGGGAGCCCCAGGGAGGGGGGTATCTTGCCTACCGGCCAGGGGCTAGGGGCCTTAGTGGGAGGAGTGGGGGGGGGGGGGTTGGAGGCGGCAGCGGCGAGGGAGCCGTAGAGCCAGAGGAGGGAAGAGAAGAGAGGAGGAGAGAGGAAGCAGGGGGAGGGAGGGAGCCAGGAGCCAGAATGAAGGGGGGGGGGGGCCCTTGGCAGAGTTAACTCCTTCAGTGCTGGCAGGAACCCGGATAATGGAAAAGGAGATGGAAGCAGAAGCAGAAAGGCCCTGAAGCAAACATGGAGGCCTGGCCAGCTACCAGAGATGACAGCAGACATGATAAGGATAAATTTCATTTCTTAGAGGAGGAAGCACCATAGCTGGGCTGGGATCACCCAAGGTTGTTTAAATACTGGAGAGAGGCCATAGCAGGGGGTAGGAGTGAGGGAGGGTTGGCAAGAGGGAATACCAGGGGTCTAGCTCTCCCTCAAAATCCACAAGAGGAAACCTGAAAAATAATTATATCCTAAACTCTTTGGTGCTTGAAACTGGGGCAGGCAAAGAAAAGGGGGAAGCAAGAGGGAGAAGGGGCCTAAGGAGAGGAGAGTCTATTCTCTGGGCCCCAGAGAATAGGATTTTGTTTCCTGGGTCCCCAAGTCTCAGTTCAATATCAGCAGCACTTTGCTCAACCCTCCAGCTCTGCCCACTTCCTCAGTAAGTTAGGCCCCCATTCTTGCCCCCTTACCTGACTTTCTGAGATGGAAGCTTCATAATAGTCCAGGATGTCTGTCACAGGAACAACAGGGAGTTACCCTCTCCCCATGCCCTGCCTCCCTGGCCACCCCAACCATCACCTTGCCTCCTGCTGTCTGGTAAGGGAGGAGCTCCTCCAGCCAAAACTGGTGGGCACTGAGGAGGGACACTGGGGGGATGATCCCTGCCTGAGGCTCCTCTTGGACCAAATGATCTCCAGGCTCCCAACCAGCCCCCGAGTTTGGTAATTACTCACAGGCCCAGGCCAGCCTTTTCCACCACTGTTCCTTGGAAAATTGGGACTACTCACCCAGCAAGGCCTGGAAAAGGTCACTGTGCAGCACTGTGAGGAAAGAGGGTGCCCATCGCAATAGTGGGGGGGCCAGGAGCCAGAGGACTGACCTGGGAGCTGGTGAAATGCAAGTGAGAGTGGATTGGGAAAAGAGACAGACCAACGTAGGCACTCACCTCATCTTCCCAGGCTTTGCCCTTTCACCCCAGACTCTATGGAAAGGTTGAGGGAGAAGGATCCCCAGAATTTTAGTCCTCCACTCCCACCCCAGGCCTCTCCTCCCACAAGGACTCCTGTTTTTCACCTCTTGGTCTTTCCTGTTTTTCACCTCTTGGTCTTTCCGACATCTCTCTTTTCTCTTACGTCAATCTCCCTAATCCTCCAGGATTAGAGCTGAGCTGTCTTCTCCCCACCCAGTTCCAGCTGCAAGGTAAAGCAGGCACTCTCTGAACCACACAGATGTCCCATCCTTCTTCAGGTCCCCAGGCACCACTACCATTACCTTGCTCCACATACCCTGGCCCCTTCCCAAAGCCAGGCACAACGTAGCTACACCTCCCTAAGTGACTGAGGAAGAGGGTTATCCCCTAGGAGACTCCAAGAGCTCAAAAATAAAAGAAGTTGAGCCCAGCTCTCTCTCTCCTCCTGGGCCTGTCCCCAATGGGAATGGCAGAAAGAGGGACAAAAATGGCCTGGGACTTCTTGACCTAAGGCTAGAGAAGTGTAGGAGAGGGAAGAGACATGAGAATTCCTAAAGTTCCTATCAGGCCTGGGAAAACTCCACCTGCGCGGAGATCTAGCCTGAGCAGTCTCAGGAAGAAACAGAAGGCAGGCAGAGTGAGGTGGATGTTGAAGAAGGTCTGAGAGACCTAAAGGAAAGGCAGTGAACCCTAGGAGAGAAGGGAAATCCTCCTAGGTCTCAGGAGAATATGTTTGGGACACTCACACACCAGTTTGAGTCTCCCACCCCACCATTTCCCTCCCTCTTGTAGATTTCACAGACGATACCAGAGTCTTCTTTCCAAATCTCTGCCTCTGGCATCTATCCTATACTTTTGTCTTCCCACCTTTCTAACTCCACCTGGGAAGTTTTCCTTTCAGTCTATCCTCCATCCCTCCGGCTACAGTTACCTAAGCTCCTCCCTCTTCAGTCCCGGCGTATCCCATAACCCCTTTTGAGAACTACACTCTAGTTCGGACAGGCGGGATGAAAGAGTTCGGGGGAAACAAGGGATGTTTGGAGATCACCCTACGTCCACCAGAATGCTGGGCTGGCGGGGGGAGCTCCGAGACTACAGCCCCCAGCATGCACCGGGGGCCGGAAGCCCCGCCCACCTCCCGGTGCATTGTGGAGGATGAGTCAGGGGTTAGGAGGCACCCAGACTTTGGCAGAACAGATCTGAGCGCTAGGTCAACGCTCGAAGCACCGGCGAGTGGCGGCCGGAGTGGTTCAGAAATGCAGGCGGCGAGGATGGCCCCAAGCATGGGGCGGCAGTTGCTGAGGTTCGGGGGCGGAAAGTGTGTGTGTGTGTGCTAGCAGTGATGGGGGCAGCGGGCCTGGGGACCGGGCCAGGACTGAACCCCAACTCCCCACAGCTCCCGACCCTGTGCTCTCTTGGGGCAGCTCCAGCCCTACCCAGTCCGACGACCCTATGCCAGTGGGGCGGCCCAGGTGAGTGACGACGACCTTGGAGCGGGGAGCTCGGTCGGGGTGGGTTCCCCCCTGGGTTCCTGTGTCCCTGCCACAGCCAACAGGGGTCTCCCTCTTGGTGCTTATCACCTGCCGACCGACCTGGCACCAAAAGTAGGGGAAAGGGCAGGCCAGGGTGTCCAGTGATGAAACTAGAGGAAGGTCACCAGACTTGCCCTTCCGCCACCTAGCTCTTCCCTTCTGCTTTCCTTGCCATTTCGGCAGCCCCTTCACCAGCCTTGGTAACTATCCCTTTCCCCAGGCTGTGCTGGACAAGTCAGATGCTGTTTCCTCTGAGGTCTCAACACGAGAAAAACCAGCCAAGGTGGTATGTAGCCTCCGATGCTGGGCGGAGCTGAAGCCCGGGGCAGACCCATCCCAGCCAGCTTCCTGAAACCTGCTTCTGTTGCAGGAATCTAAGTCCTTTGCAGCGGGGATGTTCAAGGGCCAGCTCACCACAGATCAGGTGTTCCCGTACCCTTCAGGTAAGGGAAGGGGTAGCCAGAGCTGCAAGGATGGCAGGGCAGGTTCCCCAGACCACCTGGCCTGACCTGCCTGTCTCTGCTCCCACTCAGTGCTCAACGAGGAGCAGACACAGTTTCTCAAAGAGCTGGTAGGGCCTGTGTCCCGTTTCTTCGAGGTAAGGAATGACTGAGCCTGGGGAATAGAGCTTGGTCCCTGATAGGGTGGTAGAGATGGTAAGGACTTTTAAAGGAGCCTGGATGTGGGGTCCTGTGCCTTCCCCAGGAGGTGAATAATCCTGCCAAGAATGACTCGCTGGAACAGGTTGAAGAGACCACTATGCAGGGCCTCAAGGAGCTGGGGGCCTTTGGTCTGCAAGTGCCCAATGAACTGGGAGGTGTGGGCCTCTGCAACACTCAGGTGAGGGACCCCCCACCATCACTTCCCAGCATCCCAGTCTAAGCTGGCTGGTTCAGCTCCTTCTTCACAGTTGGGGCTAAGGTGTCTGCCAAGCACCTGCGGGATGTTGACTCTCCCCATAAGTACACATCCCTTGCAAACACACCACGGAACTACATACCAGTCCCCTAGGACCATGGACCTCACCCAGGCTCCCAAATCCTAATGACTAAGGTAGGAACTACCTGACAGGGTAGGAAGCCACCAAAACCTGGGATGGACACCAGTCAGCTAGTGTTCTCTGACATGGTCCCACTTCCTCTCGCCTGGGAATGCCCAAGTCAGGCCCTGCCCTGTTGGTCACCATCCTAAGGGCAGGTCTGCACAGCCAGTTACAGCAAATGCCTGTTTCCCCTCCAGTATGCCCGCTTGGTGGAGATCGTGGGCATGCATGACCTGGGTGTGGGCATCACCCTGGGGGCCCATCAGAGCATCGGTTTCAAAGGCATCCTGCTCTTTGGCACAAAGGCCCAGAAAGAAAAATACCTCCCCAAACTGGCATCAGGTAAGGCAGGCCAATAGTCCCAGGCATTAGTGGTGTCCTGGGTTTGGTCGGGCTCGTGCTGCTTAGACCACCACATAGTTGGACATGTCGGTTGAGGGAGACTCTGGGAAGGCATGACAGGGTGCTAATAGAGAATCGGGAAGAAATTGAATGTTGCCTGAGGTATTAAGGGCTAACTTGGTGGGGGTAGGGGGTTGGCACTGAGGGGGCCTTCAACACCCATGAAGATCCAGCGATGGGCCCAGTATAAAGGAGCTCTTGTCCAACAGGGGAGACTATTGCAGCTTTCTGTCTAACTGAGCCCTCGAGTGGGTCAGATGCAGCCTCCATCCGAAGCTCAGCTGTGCCCAGTCCCTGTGGAAAATATTATACCCTCAATGGAAGCAAGATTTGGATCAGGCAATCTTCTTCCCATTTCTCCCCTCCTCTTCACCTCTGCCCAATTCCAGGCCACACTGCTGTCCTCCATGCCCTGACTGCCCTTGTTTTTCTACAGTAATGGAGGCCTGGCAGACATCTTCACAGTCTTTGCCAAAACACCAGTTACAGATCCAGCCACAGGGGTCGTGAAGGAGAAGATCACAGCATTTGTGGTGGAGAGGAGCTTTGGAGGTGTTACCCAGTGAGTGGGTTTGGGGAAGAAAGGTTAAGCCAGGAAGGAGGGCAGTCTGAGTGCTAGAGCTGATGGCTGTCAACAGGGCACTTTGTGTGTGTGTCGGGGGGGGGGGGGGTGTGCAAAAGCCAAAGCAGTGGGACAGTGTGTTCCTGTTGGGATTAAGACGTATGGAACAGATCTAAAGCTCTGGCTCCAACAACCAGTGAGCCCGGCACATGGAAGCCGGAGGGAGCTGGGCCTCCTCAGCACTCTGGGAAAGCAGGGAACTGCTGCCTGCAGGCTGGGAGTAGCTCCTCCTGGTTCGAAAGGGGTGAAGGGACAGTTTTACCTGCAACTTGTTGAACACACTTCTGCTTCTCTGCCCTGCCCTGTCATAGTGGGCCCCCTGAGAAGAAAATGGGCATCAAGGCCTCGAACACAGCAGAGGTGTACTTTGATGGAGTACGGGTGCCATCAGAGAACGTGCTGGGTGAGGTCGGGGGCGGCTTCAAGGTTGCCATGCACATTCTCAACAATGGAAGGTTTGGCATGGCTGCAGCCCTTGCAGGTACCATGAAGGGCATCATTGCTAAGGCGGTGAGTACCCTACTTAAGTCCCTAGTTAAAAGTCCAAGTCACACCAAGTCCCTCCCCGGTGTGTCCCTGTTCCCTTGCAGGCACTCCCTCCACCAGAGACCCCTCCCCCACCAGCAGCTCTAGACCTGCTGACTTAGATCCCTATCTAGCCTAGACCGAACCCTTCTTGGCTGTGGCCAAAGCCCAGCCCAACTCCTCCCCTGGGATGATAACACAGGTGCCCTTTTCCAGGTGGACCATGCTGCAAATCGTACCCAGTTTGGGGAGAAAATTCACAACTTTGGGCTGATCCAGGAGAAGCTGGCCCGAATGGCTATGCTGCAGTATGTGACAGAGGTGAGAATCCTCCCAGGTTTCTCCTGTAGCCTTCCCAGTTGGGTCAGACTACAACTCCCAGCAGCACCTGGGGCAGTGGGTCTCCAGCTTTACACCAATGCCCTAGGGGATGCGGGGAGGCATAGTCAGCTCAGCTGCTGCAGAAGAGGGAGAACCATGCTGATCTGCTGAGGTGCTTTTCAGAGGTACCTGAAGTTTATTCTATGCCCACACCCACGCTTACTTCTTCACCCCTTTCAAGAAGTCAAATGCCTAGAAGCCCCTGATGAACTGGCTCAGGGGACGAAGTATTTCAGTATCCCTGACATGGAGTTAGAAGGTGAAGACAAGGGCCACAGGGAGCTGGAGCAGATCTGGTCTTGGAGATTTGAGTGATTGGGTCAAATCTGATGCAGCCCTTTTCGTTTCCATGTCCCAACCATGCAACCTCAGTCCATGGCTTATATGGTGAGTGCCAACATGGACCAGGGATCCACAGACTTCCAGATAGAGGCCGCCATCAGCAAAATCTTTGGCTCGGTGAGGTTCCAGGTCTGCAGGGTGGGACACCCAGTTTGGGAGCCGGCCTTCAAACCCAATCTTGCATGGTTCTTTATCCCCAGGAGGCGGCCTGGAAGGTGACAGACGAATGCATCCAAATTATGGGAGGCATGGGCTTCATGAAGGTACAGGATGGTTTTCTGCCCTTGATAGCCACAGTTGGGCTGGGAGGAGTAGGCAGACACATTTTGCTCAACAGGGGTGTGTGATTTGTCTTTCCCCATGCTAGGAGCCTGGGGTAGAGCGCGTGCTCCGAGACCTTCGCATCTTTCGGATCTTTGAGGGGACGAATGACATTCTCCGTCTGTTTGTAGCTCTGCAGGGCTGTATGGTAAGGAGGAAAGAATTGAGGGGACGAGGTAGGGAGGACAGGGAATCTTGACTGTTGGACCTCCTCCCCACAGGACAAAGGAAAGGAACTCTCTGGGCTTGGCAAAGCTCTGAAGAATCCTTTTGGGAATGCCGGCCTCCTGCTAGGCGAAGCAGGCAAACAGCTGAGGCGGTAAGCTTAGGGGCTGCAGCAGGGCAGGGCAGTCAGTGTATGGCAATTAACCACTCACTTTTTCCTTTCCTCTAAGGCGGGCAGGGCTGGGCAGTGGCCTGAGTCTCAGTGGCACCATCCATCCAGAGTTGAGTCGGAGTGGTGAACTGGTAAGCAGTCAAGACTTGGAGGGCTGAGGGACGGCCTGCATCAGAAACTAATGCGGCTATGCCCCCCTCTGAGCCCTGAGCACCCTCCTCATCTCTTCAGGCAGTACAGGCTCTGGAGCAGTTTGCCACTGTGGTGGAGGCCAAGCTGATAAAACACAAAAAGGAGATTGTCAGTGAGTGAACCCTACCGCATTCCCACCGCCCCCCCTTTTCCTCTCCCTCCAACTAACACCCCTCCCCCCATCCCATCTACCTGACAGATGAACAGTTTGTGCTGCAGCGTCTGGCAGACAGTGCCATTGACCTCTATGCCATGGTGGTGGTTCTTTCCAGGTGAGAGGCAGTGTGGGAAGCCTGAGCTGCAGGGGGTCCTCAGACAGGGTTACAGCCCTGACTTATTGTCTCTTCCTGCTTCCCACCAGAGCCTCAAGATCCCTGAATGAGGGCCACCCCACAGCCCAGCATGAGAAAATGCTCTGTGACAGCTGGTGTATTGAGGTGAGATTCAGGGTTGTCAAGAGCAGGTTGGGGGTTCAAGGCATGGTCCTGAACCCTTCCTTCCCTCTCCCCAGGCTGCAGCCCGGATCCGGGAAAATATGTCTGCTCTGCAGTCTGACCCCCAGCAGCAGCTCTTCCGTAACTTCAAAAGCATCTCCAAGGCCTTGGTAGAACGAGGTGGTGTGGTCACTGGCAACCCCCTTGGCTTCTGAATATTCCAAGCCAGGGCCTGACCAGGAGCGTGCCTTCTCTCAAGCCAAAGCCCAGGCCCCTTTCCTGCGGGCTCTGGCTCTGCCTCGAAGGGGCCTCGCCTCAGGACTGTGCCTGCTCTTGGAGGGAGCACTCATGCCTTACAAATAAAGTCTTTAGCAAGTCATGCTTTGCTACTGTGTCTGAGCCCTTTCCCTCGCTGCCTGCCTCCCTCCCAAAGAAAGGAGCCAAAGGCATAGGGAATTTGCCCCTATTGCTTTATTTAGTGTTTTATACAGTAACTAAAATAAATAGAATAACAAAAGCAGCTACATGGCCCCAATACCAAATACCCCAGGTTCCTTTGACTGTTGTCAAGGGTGATCAACCCCCTCCTCCCAGGGGAGCAGGACAGAGCTAACAACTGGGTGAATGGAGTAGGAGGTCACATTTTGGGGTTAAAAGAAGGGGCCCGGGAGACAGGAATTCTTCATATAAAAGAGGAAATGCCTACTAAAAAATAACCTAGAAGTGTAGAAAAGTCTATTTTAACCTTCAAAAAGGCTTACAAAATAACAATAAAGCTAGAAATAACCAAAGGTCCCCTGAACACCCCTGAGGGAAGGGGCAGGAGCCAGGCACTGCTGGTTAAGAGTCACAGTGGTAACCTCCTAGCAGGCAGCAGGCAGCCCACAGGCTGAGCCCAGGCACCATGGGAGGAGTAATGAGCATGTGACTGACAAGACTTCCAATCACAAGACAGGAACACCAGGCACTGACAGGACAGGCCAAGGGTAGAGATCCAAGATGGCCCGCTGTTGGCTCTACATAACATCCACAAAGAACTCACTGGGGTTGCCCATGGCCATGTGGAAGCTTTGGCGACTGGCTGTCAGCTCTGGGGGAACTGAGCCTAGGTCTCTGACTGGAGGAGCACCTGGGGGCTGCACTGCTGAAGGGACAGGTGGGGGAGGTGGAGGCATCATGACCACCATCATGGGGTTATAAGGGAGGGCCATACCAGGGGGTGGTCCATAGGGATGGAGCCCTGGGTGGGCTCGGAGATTAGGAACACCCCCTGATGAGCTCCTGGAAGGGAGAGGGCCCCCATCACTAGTCCCACCAGGTTCCCCACCCCTCCGAAGGCTGCCCCCGCGGCTGGAGGGCTCAGACTCACTGCCGCTGCCAGACTTGGACTCGGGGGCCCGCTCCTCAGGCCTCCCTGTGCGCCCTGCCCCCCCATCGCTTCGTGTGGACCCACTGCTCCGGCTCCCTGTTGGGGGAGAGGGAAGGGGGGGGCAACTGAGCCCTAGCCCAGGGTCCCTCAGCCTCCCTAGCCCCTGTTCCTTGCCTCCTCCCCCCGCACAACTGTACTGATAGCTGGCAGTTACTTACCTTCACTATGCTGGCTGCTGGCACTGCCTCCACCATAGGTGTAGGATGAGAGCTCATGGTAGGGTGGGGGCTGGGGGCTGTATGGGTGTGGGGCTGGATACTGGTAGGGAAAGGTGGGCAGCAGGGGCCAAGGGGTGGCCCCAGGCAGAGGAGCCAAGGTGTCCTGGTCCGAAGCCCCACTGGAGCCGTCATTATCATTCAGAGACAGGTTGACTAGGTCTGAAAAGGAGGTAAAGAGACTGAGTCATTGCTTCAAGGGGCCAGGACACCAAGGCATTGAATGTAGAGGAACTGGGAACCTTTTCCTCAGGACCACCCATGATGGGGGTTAAAACGAGGGCCTTAAAATTCCCCACCTGCCACTGCTACCAGGGCAGGAAATCAGCCAGGGCTACCACAAGTCCCATATGCTTTTATGAGACTCAGAAAAAGGTGCTCCTGCCCCCAGCAGACACAGCTCTGAGCCTGGTACACAACTTGTCCAGCACAACACTGGGGTACGTTAGCCCCGACTTGTGTCATTGGGCCAGTGCAGGGCCTAGTGCAGGGCACATACTGCTCAATGCTCCGGCTGTTCTCTGAGCAAGGTCTGGGGTTCTGGAGGGCACTCACAACTCTCACAGCCACCACTGAGGTCTCCAAAGACATAATAGCACTGCTCGGAGAAGGTGATCTTGTTTACGGTGTGCCGGATAAGGCCTGCCTTGAGCAGTCCACTGGCATACTTTCTGGCCTCCCGTCGCTCAGGAAAGCCCTCCACATGATGATAGAGCCAGTCAACCACGTCGGAACCTGGAACCACCCAGGGCAGAAAAAGGCCTCAGGTTCTCCTCCTCGACTTCTATTTCACCCCTGGCTGGGGCCATTCCCACCTTTGGCCTCCTCCTTGTCCTGCTCCCTCTTCCCATGCCACCCCCCCAAGGCCCGGCCATACCCAGAAAGGCATTAGGGATGGTAATCTTAAGCCACATGCGGTCCCGAACTTCTAGTCCAGACTCTGGAGAGGCCATGGCCTTGGTCACAGATGCCATGTCTGTGTGGATGGAGAGGCCTCGGCCCTCACAGCCTGACAGAGAAGGAGGGAGTCAGAGGCAGAGCCCACTTCCAAGGAGTGATGGGGTCACAACATTGCTGAGGGGCCTTCTGGGAAGTGGGGACGAGGCGGGCCTGGGAGCTCACCATCAGGCAAAGAGGACCCAGATGTAATGGTGCTCATGGATGAGGAGCCTGGATAGGCTGGGAAGGTGCCAGTCAATGCAGCTGAGTGTGAGACCCAGGCAGCGGGGTCAATTGGCTGTATAGGCTCATCTGGAACACAGAAAGCCGCCAAGATGATCACTTCCTAGTCCCACAGAGCCATCCCTGTCCCGGCCTGACACCAATTTGACCTTCCTTCACCCATTCCCCATCACCTTGGGACCCACCCCAGCCCTCCCACCCTCTCAGCTGCAGACCCTTCTGAGCATCACTCACTTCGGGGAAGAGTGAAATAGGCCTGGGGAGAGGGATCCCAGCACTTGGCCACAGTCAGCACGATGGGGCTGTGGGGGAGAGAAGGCCAGTCAAGCAGGACGTGGGGAGAGACCTCAGGAGGTGGGGGCCTAGAATGAGAAGGGGTGGAAGGACAGAAAGAGGGAGAGAAGCAAAAGCACACAAACATGGCTGGGCCCAAGAAAGGGAGGGTGGAGGGCTCCATCCACAATGTACATGACTCACCAACACGCATAACTCTTAAAAACATACTGAGTCAGACAAGAGAGTACACAATGTACAATTCCATTCAGAGAGAGCCCCCAAAACAGGTAAAACTAAACCATGCCGTTCAACGATACAGGCATGAGTGGTAAAGCTACCAAGTGAAGATTTTGTCACAATAATAACCAAAAAATCAGGAGCATGATTACCCCTGGGGCAGTGAGGAGGGTGGGAGCCAGAAGGGACACTGAAGGTAACTTCTAGGGTGTCAGCAATCTTCTATTTCATGATCTAGGCAATGGTGACAGGCGTACTCATTCACTCTGGAATTACTCATTACATTATACATTTTTTGTGTCATGTACTTTTTAGATGAGTGTTATTGTACTACTTTTTAAAATTATAAGACAAAAAGGTGAAAAGGCAAAGCCAAGAGGACTGAAGACCTGAGACCAGTTCAGAGGCTCACCCCGGCTTATGCACAATGTCTCTCAGCACCCGTACCGCATCATCATTGCTCATGTTCTCAAAGTTCATGTCATTCACCTGCAAAGTGAGGGAAAGTGGGTCAGAGGCAGGGTGGGAGAGGCTGAGAGCCCCTGCCCAAGTGCCCTGCCCCAGCACACCTGCAAAAGCATGTCCCCTGGCTCGATGCGCCCGTCAGCTGCCACGGCCCCACCCTTCATAATGGAGCCGATGTAGATGCCCCCGTCTCCCCGCTCATTGCTCTGGCCCACAATGGAGATGCCCAGGAAGTTGTACTTCTCTGTGGAAGAAGTCCATGTGACGAGGGGAAGCCCAAGCCACCTGACCCCAAGCCCTAGAGACCAGGTCCCCTAATCCCCCAGTCCCCAGCTCCCTCCATACCCATGTTGAGTGTGACTGTGATGATGTTGAGAGACATGGTGGAATCCGTAACGCTGCTGAAGGATGAGGTCTGTGGTGGGAAAAGGGGAAGGAGCTAGACTGCCTTCAACAACCAAGGGCCAAGTCCGGGATTGTCTGTGCCCTTGTATCCACTGAACCAAGACCCAGGCCCCCAACGTCCCCAAGATCCAGTTGTCCCACGAGACCCTCTCACCCTCTCCAGGCGAGGTGGCCGCTGTTTCCTCCGCCGCCGGTGGCGCTTGAGGAGGCGAGAGGCACTGCTTTGTTCTGTGGAGCTGCTGAACCTGTCAGGAGGTTGGGAAGGGAGCACTTGTAGGTGGAGGTTGTCATAGGCCAAGAGAAAATGAGAGGATTGGCTGAAGGAGGGAAAAGAAGGGGCTGATGCCCAGGGGAGAAGGGGCTGATGCCCAGGGGAGAGATCCATGGAGCCATACCTGCTCATGGTGTCATCCTCATCGGAGTCCCCCAGGCTGGTGCTCTCTAGTTCACTGGTCATGAGGGTTGACGAACTCTCGTACCCAGCCAGGTGGCGCTCCAACCTTGAGGGGCCACTGGGCCTGTGGCCACCAGCTGAGTATGAATAGCAACTTCAGGAACCAGGCCTTAGGTTCCTCACCCTCATCAAATCTTGGGTCTTATCCAACCCCTTCCCAATTCCAGTCTACCCAACCTCAGGGCCCAACCCCCCTCACCGCCATGCTCACTGCTGTCTCTCCTGCGAGGCCGCTCCCGCCTCAGAGACACTACTGACTCTGTTTCGGTCTCAGGCTCCAGATTTTCCCGGCTGCTGGACACGTTAGGGCTAGGTGGGCAGAGATGGTGCCAACCCAAGTCAGTGGGACAGAGCTCCAAATCCTTGGTTTCCCCTCCCAAGAAGCTTGGGTTCCCTTCTCACCTCCCACCCCTGGACTCAAGAATCTCAAGGACTCACTGAAAGGATGGAGGCCTAGAGTCCCCAATGCCACTGGTCCTCTCCGGTGGCAAAGGGGGTAATGGTGGAGTTGGAGGTGCCAATTCAGTTCGAGGCTCCTGGGCTTGGGGAGCTATCTCAGGTTGAGGGTTATCTGATGACACAAGCTGGAAGGGTACAAATGATTAAAAAAAAAAACTCTACCAGGAAGTGAGGCGTATGACAAGGGAGAAAGGGAAAGGACTAGAAAAGGGAGAGACAGGATCTAAGCACCTGAAGAAAAACACAAAAAAAGCAGC